TATTATTGAAAAAAAATACTATATAATTATACAACAATGAGCTGTGACGGCAAATTTAAAAAGAGAAGGATATTAGACCTGAGGCAGCAGCAACCAGCAGTGCACCTGCTACAAGAACCACAACAGATGAGAAGAACAGGAATGCTGCCAGCTGATGCAAAGAGCCTCTAGAAGATCATTCATGGGCTCCTTTTTCCCAGGACTAAGCTGTGAGTCACAGATGATCCTTGGTACTGAAAGGTATTTGCTGAGGGACAGTTGTGTTCTGCTGATGTGGACAGGAGTAAGACATTGCAAAGACATAAAAAAAACCATCCCAGCAACACAGATTATATCTGATCCAGGAGAAGGATGATGGGATTGGTGTCTTCACACCCACTGCCATCCTAAAATAATCTGTTAGTGCTACACTCGCTACTCTGTCTCTTAGAAATCTCTGTAACTCTCTCACTTACCAGCAGAGGTGCTTGGACCCCCAGTGTGTACCTGGCTCCCCATCAAACCCTTCATGCCACCTGCACAGATGATGTTGGGGTACAGACATGAAAAGCCTGGGGACTGGCAAGGAACCCAGTGCAATATTGGTCTGGATCCCAAACCCTCCAGCCTGGATATTGCTTTAGGGGATGTCTTGCTGGGCCCTTTCCCAGTGCAGGAAACTCTCGGTTCTGGTGGACAGCAGCATGTGGCAGTTGATGCCCAGTGCACACAGGCAACTTGCAGGACTCAGATTGCCAGGGCATTGCACTTGGACCAGTTTCAACTGGAAGGATCTCCAACAGCCCCAACTCCATCCAACAGGCCCTTGTAACAGCAGTTGCAAGTCCCTTCCTGCTTTGTCCCCTCCTCCCAGCACAACCAGTGCCCCCCAGGCCCTCCCCACCACATCCCCACTTACTTCTTCCCGAGCTGGCGCGCCACATCGCAGCGCTTGAACCCTTCGAGGTTGTAAAGGCGCTTGGCCAGCCTCTTGGCAGCCTCGCTATCTGCCCTGCAGCCATTGGCCAAGGTGTCTGTGCTGCCCTGGTCAAGCTGCTCTGTGCTGCCCAAGTCGGAGTCAGAGTCTGAAAGTGCATCTTTCAAGCTGGCGTCACTACACAAAAACAAGAAACAAATCAAGGAGCAGTAATGTGACTTGAAGAAACCCACAGAAAAGGGCACATTTTGATTTCTTCTTATCCTAAACCAAGAATACACCTGTGAATTTGGCATTGGACAAACCCTCTTTCATTGCAGGTCAAAGGAAACAGTACAATTTAATTACAAATTTGTAGAAAATAGTTGAAGAGAAGGTGAATTTTCCCTGAGAACAGAGGATGTATCCATTCAGAGCAAGCAGCCCCAACACCTTTCTAAGCTTCGTCTCTCTCCACTGGTATGGAAAGGGATACCAAGTTCTTTCAGAGCTCTGGCCTTTCAGGAAATCTTAGGGATAGATGGTATGTTCAGTTCAGATTACTTGCTAAGGGTAAGAAATTGCACTTGTACAAATCGTGCCACAGGTCTGGGACTGGTATCAGACCTACAGTCACTGATGGACTGCTCCTCTTCAAGCTACTTGTTGGTGTTGTGGCCAGCAATTCCCACAGACAACATGCTGAGCAGCCCCACTGGCACCGTGTAGGTGGGGCTGCATCCCTTTATTTTCTTGCCCAAGGCCAGTTCTGGCACCTACTCACACATTTTCGGGCAGTGTGACTCACTGAAGGCTGATAAGCTAGCTGGACATCCAGCCTCGCTCCTGCTCTCCCATGACCTGCCTACTCATCACCAGCCTTCCTCATGCAAGGAAGTGTCCTGCAGATAAGCTGCTGCCTCCCAGGGATGAATGTTTGGATCTGAGCTGGTCCAGAGGATGAAGTCTCTGCTGATCTCACTGCCTGCAGAAGCAGCTTTGGGGAGGCCTCTACAGGGGCACCCAGTCCTATGTGAAACCTTGAAGTTTCCCTGCCCTTCAGAGCACATCTGTGAGTGTGCTTGACTGCCTCCAACATGCCAAGGGCTTTTGCAGGCGTCAGGCAGACCAGGCAGTGGAGTACCCTGAGGAGCCCCAGCTTTACCTGTTGTAAGAATAGACAGGACTTGTGAGCAGCCACATAAACCGTGGTTCCCTCCAGAGGAAACATCAACACCAAGTGACAAGCCCTAGCTCTTCCTGGGATTGCAGGGCTCCTACAAGACCCTGCAGCTAACTGCAGTTTGGGGTCCTGCGTTTGAGAACAACGAGGGCTCGGATACAGGGTCACTGGGGACTGCCTGGTTTAATGCCATGAGACCTTGACCCCCTAACCTACAGGTAGGAAAGGTTTTCCCACTGGTGTTTGGCCTCCCTGCCATGAGAGCACATGAAAGGAAGCACAAGGGGGGAAAAGGCAGCTCCATCTCTATCACGTCCTCTGAGCCTTGCTCCTAGACTGGCATCCCATAAGACAAAGAGTCCTTACCCAAGGAATTCCCAGCCTGTCTTACCTGATGGAGTTAATGATCTTGGTGGCATCTTCCTCTGATCCTTCCACATGGAACCCATTCGGGATGCTCTTCAAGGACAACCGGCTTAGCACGTTCTCCGACCTGCTGCTGGTGATTGAGTGCCTGAGAGGGCTCCCAAAATCCCCCTCCATTGGCTTTGCTGCTGCCTGCTCTTGCTTATCAGCAGCTGTGTGGTGAAGGGCTTCTCTCTGCTGGGCTACCAATTTCTGCTCTAAGAGCTCTGGGCTGTCCTTGACTCTTTGCTGGATCAGTGGGGTGAGTGGGGCCTCAAAACTGACACAGCTGTCTGTCTCATCTGTGAGAGAGAGGACATCCAAAGAGTCCAAGCTGCTGTAGTATGTACCCTTCATGAGGTCAGACTCAACAATCTTCTCAAACGTTGAGCTGAACCCATCCCTGATGTCTTTGAATTGAAAATGGTCCTTGTCATCCTCACTGCAGCTCAGCTTGGCATCTCCAGAAGCAAACCTGGACCAAAAGGGGAAAAGTAGAAAATACTGTCAAGGCAATTGCTTGCATTGTTCCACTTTAAAAGCATGAAAATCCTTAAGATCAAGGCCATTTCATCTAACTTTGGATGTGGGCAGCAAATGTCCTTGATCCCTTTTATAGCAGAGAAAAAAGCAGAAGCTTTTAGGGAGCAAGTCATATGCTGTAACTTCAACTTTTTTCTTGGATGAGGTATTCTGGGAGTGCAAGGTGTCCTACAAATACTTTTCTCTCCACTAGGAGGGATGTACAAGGTGATGAACACACACACAGACAAGGGAGGCTCTATGTTGCTTCACAGCTAGCCTGTGGGATTCAGGCACAGCATTACAGCCATGAACATACAATGAAATGCATGACCCTACAAGTAGACTGGGGTATGCAAGATACTGGGAGGGAACACAGCTGGTACAGCTGACCTGAATGGTCCAAAGAGATATTCCATGCCATAGAATGTCATTCTCAGAAAAAAAAGGGGGAAAAAGGGGTGCGAGGGGTGGCCTTTCAAAATAACCATTGCTCAGAAGCTAGCTGGGCATTGTTTTGCTGGTGGGAGATGTTGAGTGATTGCTTTTGCATCACTTCCCCCCACTTTTCACTTATTAAACTGCTTTTATCTCAACCCAGGAGTCTGCTCACTTTCCTCTTCCAATTCTCTGCCCACCCCACAATGAGTTGTCTCAGTTTGGAAACCCTGTGTCAGCACCATGGCTGTGCCTTGTGTCCCTAATGAATTCTGGGGGTGGATCAGGGATGAGCAGGTTTCCTGTGCCAGCGAACAAGATGCTGAACCTGTGCATGCCTAAACCCAGCTACTGTTAGTAATGTTTCTCCTAGGCACGCCTTTTTCAAAACTAGCTCTACACCCTCATGGGTAAAAACTTACATGAATTTGTAGACTCACCCTTGATTCCAGGAGCTCACAGCTTAAGAAAACTGTCACCCAATTCATCAGATCTGGCCATGCAGTAAACCAGACATAAGCAAAAATGAGACAACAGCATCTCCAGCCCAAAGAGCCCTCATCCTCAGGACTGCTTGTCTTTACAAATCCATCCATCCCTGCAGTTCCTGGCCATGACATTGTGTGCAGAAAAGATCTGCTTTCAGAGAGCAGGAGCAACTTTACAAGTTTCATCCCCTTGTGACAGGAAGGACTTTACAGCCTCCATTACACCCAGCAGTGGGAATTACAGACCTGCCTTGGCAGCTCACCCCATTGCCAAACTTCTTCCAACAGCCTCCATCTCCAGTGAACTTGCACCTCCTCTCCCCTACAGAGGGTCTGCATCCTCCCCACACCAAGGGAAAAACCCCTTTGTAGAGTTCCCAGGTCCTCTGAGAGAGTCATCACACCACCATTAATTGTTCAGATCACAGAATTTGTATTCTCCAGACTTTCCATTATTTCTTGAACCCAAACTTACACAGCAGGCAAAAAAGTAGGAAGGCTGCATGGGACAAACCACAGAGATCAGGGCAGGAGCCGTGGTCCTGGATGGGTCAGTGGGCACCAATAAGTGAGGCACATTGCATCTCTCCTTGTGTGGTCCCAGAGAAAAAGAGGCTGCCTACAGCTTACACCACCTCAGGAACGCTGTCTGTATCTAATCCAAGCAAAGCCAGGCTAAGGTGGAAGACAGTAAAAGACCTTGCTCATGTGAATGAACCTGACATAGCCTCCCCACAGAGAAGTGTGCCTACTTATTACACAGCAGGGAAGGCAATTGCTTTCCTTAAATAAGGAGCCATATATTTATTTGCATTGTAATCACAAGCTTTTGTCAGCCTATTGAAGTTTAACGCTGTATCTAATTGCCTGCTCTGCCTTTCCCAGTCAGCTCTGAAATGCTGTTTTATTGCTCATGGCAAGGCATGCAGAGCAATGCACTGGGTTCCTGTTGCAGCCATACTGTACTGGGGTTTTATGCACTGAGCTGTTTACATGTCATTTCCCAGTGGTTAATTAGTTGTAATAAAGTACAACCTACTTCACCATGCTAGTGGAGTGGGGAGTCCTGTCAGAGAGGGACATGATGGAAACAGGACTTTCCCAAACATGCAGGCTTTCTGCAAAGCTTTTCTGAAACATTATTTAATGGAATTTGATGCCATGGGAGGAAATGTGTGGGCAAAGGCAGCAGTCCCAAACCTGCAGGTACTAAATGCATCTACAAGCCAAAGGTGGGGATTCCTCTATTAGAAAGTTTGACTTTTTGTATGAATTCATGGAGCTGAAAGCAGGGAATATCATTCCCTAGTGGAGCTCACAGTTTGGCTGCAGATCTCAGACCTCTCTGATCAAGAAGGCCAATGTTGGAGGTGTCTAGGAAGGTGTAAGACTTCTAGGCAACATAGCCACAATGATAGGAAAATAGAGCTTTAACAACTACTATATTGGCATGCTAATGGATGCCCTGGGATAAACTGGAAAGGGGTAAAAGGGATCCAGTTAATGCAAGCTGCAGCACAAGCAGTTTAGCTTTAGTTGTGCTTTAGCTTTAACACAAGCTTTAGCTTTATTTCCTTGACTTTTTTAGCAACCATTTCCTGCATAGCTGCACTAACCTACCTTCAGCAGGGCAATCATGGTTTCTTTCTCCAGCTCCACCATGGAATCAGTGACCTTGGATGTCTTTTCCCCCCTTTAATTCTCCATTGGTTCAGTGGGAAGAGCAAGACTCAACTCCTTCTTGTAAAGCACTTAAGGATCCAGGGACAAAATGCCTCATACGTATGCACCAACATATGGATGCTTGCAGCATCTCTCCTGTGCCAAGGTAGGTACACAGGCAGTGCTGAGGTATTCACAGCAGCATCGACCCCAGGTGGCTTCAGTACAGACCTCTGGATGATTTCTGTTGGCAAAGGGAAGCATCCATACTCCTCCCACAGGAATGGCATGGGAAGCACCCCATTTCATCAGTGACCAGACATTTCCCCTCTGCCCCCAATCTGCAGAGCCCAGGGAGGTCTAGGCACTTTAGAGTAATAAGATCAGCAGTGGACACTGCACTGGTGTGTCCCCACCCCAGCCTGGAGATTTCTCCTGTGAAGTCAGGCTGCCAGCACAGAGGACAGAGACTGAGGGGCACTGCACATGCTGGTTTGTGTCAGCCACTTAAGAACAGGACACTCATATCTCATCTAACCCTGCTGTCTCTGCCAGCTCAGGGACTGCCAGAAAAAGCATGCTGCCAGGGACTTCAGGGTGAACCAGCCTCCCAGGCAAGCCTGGATCTCCATCATCCCCAGGCTGTTGTACTTGTGCTAAATATTACAGGAAACCTGGAGAGGGGCTTTGGACAAGGGCCTGTAGGGACAGGACAAGGGGAATGGCTTTAACCTGCCAGAGGGGAGATTGAGATGAGCTCTGAGGCAGAAGTTCTTCCCTGTGAGGGTGCTGAGGCGCTGGCACAGGGTGCCCAGAGAAGCTGTGGCTGCCCCATCCCTGGCAGTGTTCAAGGCCACGTTGGACACAGGGGCTTGGAGCAACCTGCTCTAGTGGAAGGTGTCCCCGCCCGTGGCAGGGGGTTGGAACTGGATGAGCCAGGATTCTACAGCAAGTTATTTCAGCTAACTGCTATAAGGGCTGCAGCTGAATTTCCAACTTGCAAGTGGGACACTCCAAAGCAAGCACAACCAGCACCCTTGAGACTCTTAAAGCTTCTCCTTTGCTTTGGTGACTCTGTGGCCAGACATTGGCTCTAACCACAGCATCTCTGTATTTGTAACAGGGAAAAGCAGTGTGAGAAGCCCAGAGAGAAAAAGAGTGAAAAGCCACATTCAGCCATGAGAGCAGCTGCAGCTTTTAAAGCTGATGAGTTACACATGGAGCAGAGTAACCTAAACTAGGGAGGCTTGAGAACCAGCACACACAAACCAGCCCTGAGCCAGCATTAGGATTGCTTCACACTCACCCAAGCTCCTCCTCTGGCTCATCAACACTCAGGGCTCCTGAGGAGCCCAGGAAGCTGTGCCACCGCTCCTTGCTGAGGGTCTCACCAGGGTCCTCCTGCCCAGAGGAGCCCCGCCGCTCCGGACCCGCACTGCTGGGGCTGCCTGTGCCGCCATCCTGCTCTGCACCGTTTGCCAGGCGCTGGTCCCCATCTGGCTCCGCTGGCGGCTCGTCCCCATTGCTGCAGGCTGAGGAATGCTGCTCGTAGCCGTCTGCAGCCGGCCATGGGACATGGCTGTTCTCGCTCATATTCCGCTCGTCGTCCCAGTGCTTACAGGCTCCCTCCCTGTGCTCAGCTCAGGCTCGGCACTACCTACAGCGGAGAAGAAACACGTCATGGAAGGCACGGCCTGTCGATTGCAGCTCAGAGGGGTGGCAGTTTGAAGCAGAGCATAGGAAAATGCCCCTCACCCCTCTCAACTCCTCAGTGCAAAGCAAAAACCCCAAACTGGGGTTTGCCACTTTGGCAAAGACCGGTTCTCATTGCTCAGCAGTGAGATCCAGAGAGGAAAACCTGCCAGCATGATCCCAAACCATCAGGGTCCCAGGCACCTTCTGCTGCTCCCATAACCCCCAGACAACCCCAGCATTAAGCACAGGGGACCTGCATCACACAGACTGTTAGTGCCCCAACTATGGCAGGGCTAGGGACAGGAATGTGGCACTGCTGATTTTCCCACACTGGCTGCCATGATGCTATTCCCAACCATTCCGTGCCCACCAGAAATAGGAGAGAGAGGGGAAGTAGGAGATAGGTGTGATTTATTCTTTTCTAATACTTCTAAGCAGCTGTTATGTGATTCAGCCTGTGTGATTTTCTCTGCTGAGTCGGCATTTCTGCAGAGCTTCTTGCATGCCAGAGTAACACTTCTCTTTTCCCAACACACAAGTACTGCTGAAGGGTGTCATGAGTTGCCAGCTAAGACTGGCAAAAGTATCCTTACTGAATACACCCTGGGATGCTCTCTAGAGGGCAAGGGAAGGACACTGTATTGCGCCAAATGAGATAACTTTATTGGCAAACATGGTCATTGACACGAAGTTTGCAAGTCTTATAAGCACCATCCTTAGCCATGGGCTGTAGCCCCACAGTGCCATGCAGGGGGTTGGAACTAGATGACCTTTAAGGTCCCTTCCAACCCAAACTATTCTGTGGTTCTGTGGTTCTCCATTGCAGCTTCAATCAAGTGCCACCTGAAATGATCTCTTGTAGAAGCAAGAGTTTCTGTATGATGCTCAGGCTGGCCACAATAAAAGCTGGTTTTGCAAACAGTGTCTACCTTCACCTGCACAGGAAGCATGGCTGATCAGCTACAGCAGGCAGAGGAGCCCCTGGGTTCTCCCCTTAATTCTGTTCCTAACTCACATCTCAAGCAGATCATTTCAACTTCCCTGTAAACCAGGGATTATGCATTACCTCTAAGAAGCCATGAGGGTGCCCAGATGTCAGCAATGGGCTCTAGGCGCTCCAACTTCCTGAGCTGCAGCTCTTTTAAGAGGCAAAATCATTAATTGCTTGGCCAGTGCAGGGCTCTATTAGTTCTTGGCAGAATGAGGTGCTGGGTGGCAGCTGCCTCTGCTCTTACAACCTACTACTCTGTGGAGATGTCAGCAGCCTCCTCCCTGCTGATGAGGCCTCTGCATTTGGGCAAGGAGCAAGGGAGAGGTGGGATTCAAACCGAAACATCCCTCTACAGCCTGGGTAAGGGCATATCCACAAGGATATGTGCTTAGCTGCTGACATAGCAGGATCCCAAGGGTAACCCCAATCCCAGTCTCACAGCCCAGGAAAAACTGGACCCAGGATCTGGCCTGCCCTCTGTGTTAGGAGACATGGTGGGGTGGGGAGTTCAGAGCCCCACATGGGATGGGTTTGGAGAGAAGCATTCCTCAAGGGTCACCCACACTACAGGCATGAGATAGGGCAGGTCCCTCCTTGAGGTGACACTGGCAGTTTTACCTCTTCTCCAGGTGCATCCGTGCGCATTCCCCACTGTCACAGCGCACACAGCATCGCCGCTCCTATCGCACTAGGCACAGCCAGGTGCTTCCAATCCCTGCAGGATCACTGCCTGTAACAAGGGATCAGAAAGTGAGACCCAGAGAAGAGAATCCCAGTGATCTCCTGCACCCTGCCACTGCTCCATAGCCTCTTCTTTGTAAAGCACTGCAGTTGGTCCTCCCTGGCTTTCAGCAACAGCCAAGTGCAGGAGCAATACTTAGATAAAGCCCCTGTCTTCTTTCTTTATAAAGTCCTCTGACCAATTAAAGCAGAGCAAATTAAAGCAGAGCAGAGCAACCTGTGCTTGCAGGTTGCAGGAAGAAACTTGATGAACCCATAGAATATCTAATTTCATCCACAACATCCATATCAGTCTTACAGACGGATCCCCCCCAGTGGTCCTCCCCAGCCCCACCAACAAACTAAGACCCAGGTTAGAGGTCTTTGAGCAAATCTTGGTAAGCAAATCTGACCTATCAATGGCACTGATCATGATGTTGTATTGTACAATGCAGACTGGCAGGGACAGCGATGACTTCCCATGAGGTGACCCCAGGCTGGAGGAGCAGGTCTGGTCACCACAGACAATTGCCTGAGCCAGCAGGCCAGGCTTGTTAGAGTTGACAGAGACAACAGGCAAGGGTACCATTGCCTGTGAGCTGTTAGGGGTCTAGGCTGTGTGGATGAGGCCCTAGATGTGCCACCTGCTTTCCAACAGCTGGAAAGAGCCCGTGGAGGAGCTTGGCAGTAGATATCTGTGTCAAGACCCTGTGGAGAGATCTGCTTTCACCCTCTGTTTGGCTTGTCTTCATGGGCCTTCAGCCTCTCAGCCAGCCCACCTCTCCCTGGCAGGAGAAAAGTCAGCCTACACGTCCTGGGACACCAGCACATTGGCCTCCTGTGGCCCAGAATCCCACCTACAGGACCTGAGCCCTCTCAAGGGAGGTCAACCTGAGACAGTCCGCAGGTTTCACACATGTGGGCCAGGTGTCCTCTACCTTGCTCGTCTGCCATCCCAAATGAAGATGTAAGATCTGCAAATCTCTGTCCCACCAAAGCCAGGGCAGAAAATCAGTCCCAGGCACTTGTTCTTCCCATGCACCAACAGCAGGGCTGAGCCAATGAAGCACCTTCAAGGAATTCACCTACCAAACCTCCAAGACTCTCCTGAGCATGACCACACTGATATTTCCAGAAGTACTGAAAACCTGACATGAGACACATTCTGACTTTCCCATAGTGAAGGCATAATACAGAACGCAACACAGAGCCAGGGCTCAAATCTTTGGAGGAACCTTTCCAGCAAAGCTTTGCTGGCCTTTTTCTTAACGTGAGATGAATAATGTGGCTTTTTCGAGTCCAGTGTTTTACAACCAGCCAAAGGGTTTTGGCTGAAATTCCCCACCTCCTTGCCATCCATCCAAAACCTCCAGACACTGCTGAAGCTAAATTCCAGCCCAATAGCTAAAGCTTGGCACAGCTACATGCATCCAGAAAACAGGAAGCTAAATGTGGTTAGGAGACAGGCCTGAGTAAGAAATGTTGGCAAACCCTAGTAAGTGTGATGGCCTATCTGGCCCTCCTTGCCATCCATCCAAAACCTCCAGACAGGTCTGGAAGAAGGGCTGAGGAGTCAATAGTTAAACCTTTAGGCATGTTTTTCCTTGGCCTGGCTTCCTGCTGGAGAAGAGGCACTGGGGAAGCCCTGGGAGGATGCATGCACATACTACGGACTATTGTTGAGACAGGAAGACCAACAGCTCCCACCTTCCAGTGTACTGGTCTAAGCAAAGTCAGGAGGAGAGTCCAGGCCTCCTGACCTCTTCGGGATTTGTATGTCTCTTGTTGGATCCACACTCCTTTGCACTCATGTGGATGGAGGCTGTGATGAGCACCTGAAGCCTGCAGGTTAGCTGAGTGTATATCAACCCATGACAAATTACTCAGCAAGTCACTAGCTACTAGATTTCTGCTTGCGGTGACAGCCACGTGAAGCACACCCAGGTTATGGGTGGCTGAGGCTTCCCAGAAGCTCCAGAGGAACTGGGAGGTTGGGGGTACATGGACAAAAGAAAGAGGATATAGGCTGTGATGCCACAAATTGGACTCAAAAGAAGACATCCAAGGGTGGAACAGCTGGTTGCAACTGTCCACATGCCTCCAGCAAGTATCTGGAAGGTTACCAATGCTGGACAGAGCCCAAAGGGCACTGAGGGATTCTCAGAGCCCTTCTGTTAGCTCTGAGTAAGCACGAAAGTGCAGCTCCAGCAGCCACAGCTTCCACTGGGCCATTGGGAGAGGATGGACTGCAGCACCGAGGGAAGGGACAAGGGGGGAGCTGGTGTTCGGAGGTCTCCCTCTAGGGCTCCTTTCCCAGAGCAGTACAGCCTGACAGACAGGAGGCTGAGCTGGACTGCAGGCTAATATTCCCCATGCCCCTGCTGGTTTCTTTTTGTTTCTTCTTTGGAATGTGCTCTCCAGCACTCCCAGTTCAGGGCTGGAAGGTGGTATCTGGGTTCCCACCAATGGATTTTCACACAGCCACAAGTCTTGCCCTTTCTGCAGGCTCAGGCATCCTCTCAGGTCACTGCTGCTCCCCTAGATCCTGTGGGTAGGGTGGGCATCCCTTGCATGTCTACTGCTTCCAGACTCCTGCAAATGTAACATGGGTTAGCATATGAAAAAGGGTCTGGCAAGAAAAGGGCCAGACCTGGTGTATGTCCTGGCCAGGACTGTTGACACTGGTGGCTACCATGGCCCTGCTGAGTTGTAGACAGTTGTGAAGCTCCAGTTACATCGTTTGAGCCAGACCAGCTCTGTAAGGCCCACATGAGCAGAGTATGGATTCGTGCTGGGAAGCTAATACTGCTGTTAGAAAGGCTAAAGGAATCCAAGGCATCCATGATCCAGTGCTAGTCAAAGCCTTTCCACATCCTCTCCAGTGCTGGGACTTGGTGCTTCCACTGCAAGGTAGGAGAGAGGCAGAAGGGACAGAGGATCCCATTCCTTGTGGACTTTGGGATGGTGGCTGGCTTTGCAGTAGGGACAGCAAAGCTGGGCTGGCATCCACTGCAGGAAAGCTCCAGTCCCAAAGAGGCTGGTCAAAGACGCAGCAAAGTTTGCCTTGATTGTTGAGGGGTTGGAAACCACACAGCAGCTCTTTCAGAGACTGGCTCTGGAAGAATCCCAGCTTTTGTTGAAGCTGAATGGCTGGTGGGAAATGATTTATTTTTAATTTTCTTCCCTG